TGATACAACCCAGTGAAACCTGTTTCATGTACATCACTGATTCAACTCAGCATTTCATACTTATTAAACTCTATTCACTTTGCATATTTAAGTAGCACTACCTTCGCTACTGTACTTTAGTTTTGTCCTCTTGTTCCCTATGTACACCTCATAGGGACGTCTCTAGTAATAGACTCAGTTGTCTATTCCAGTCTTAGTCTGAAGCGTTGCTTCAACCAGTATACTCTCTCAAACCACTATCAGATATAGCGGCTCAGTCTACAACTCCAGTTCAGTGTAGGACTATAGCGTGTATAAGTCCCAGCAACAGTTAACCAGTTGAACTCCTGATCCTCAGTCGTTAGGTCCCTTAACACCAGTAATAGACTCCAGTTGTCTATTCCAGTCTCAGTCTGAAGTGTTGCTTCAACCAGTATACTTTCTCAAACCACTGCTAGTTGCAGTGGCTTGGTCTACAAGTCTAGTTCTAGTATAGTGCATCAGCCTTACGCATAACAGTACCTTTTGTCTGTAGTAGTCTTAAGTGGAACTCCTGATCCTCAGTTGTCAGGTCCCTTAACACCTGGTACTTAGGCTAGCTACGCTATTGGCTATCTACTAACCCCTGCTGACCATCTTACTAACCGGTGGTGATGATGAATCCCCGAGCCAGAGTCTAACTAAAATATCAGGTGACATGTGGGTCCTGACCACTAAGTGATGCTAGTAGAACTGCTTAGTGAGCTGTCACCTGATTGACAACCTTATCCAAGAACCTTCTGGCAGGTTCTATACTATTCTATAGATACTCCAGCTTGCATCTAATCTATATCTAATCCATATCTGATAAGATAAGATAGGCATGTGCTTATTCTGGAGTTCTATTCAGAAAACTGTGACAAAGCTCAGTCATCCTAAGGTGTTAGGTGTACTACCAGTAGTATCAGGGGTCTGGTCCCTCATGTATAAATACCAGAGTAATACAGTGTAGAGAGGGCAGACTTGTTATACTTATCAATACTTGTCTACTTCTACATCCTCTGCTCTGAGTCCATGTCATAGAATTTCATAGTGTCTATCTTATCTTAAGGCATCTAGATGATCTATATCTTATCTAATTAGATATCTATCTTGATAAGGATAGTGTAGTACATGGTGACATGTTACTAGTCAGGTGTTTAGCTTATCAGAAGCATGGCAAATGGGCTATCATACGTTCACATAAGATTTCCCCATTTGTACTAGGAACACACACAGTCATTCAGGTGATCATCACTAGAAGACTGCTGACTGAACACAAGGACAGGGCAATGGTTTATGCACTAGGTATTCTTAGATAGCCAATAGCATATTGTGAACATTAGTCAGCCTAGGTGTTTGGTGTACTACCAGTAGTATCAGGGGTCTGGTCTCTCATGTATAAATACCAGAGCAATACATTGTAGAGGGGCAGTCTGATCTTACTCAGTCTACCACTGTCTACTCCACTCTACTCTTCCTCTGAGTTAACCACTCCCAAGACAATCTATTAAGATTACCTCTTGTCAACTTCCAAACACTACAAGTGAGTGATTGGGGTTAGAGTTAGGGTTAGGGTCAAGGGTGATACCTTGACAGTCCACCAGCTCTTATAGTCATCAGCCCCCAGCTTTTCTATACAACTGCAAGACCTACAAGTGAGTGTTTGGGGTTAGGGTATCGGATTAGTCAAGTATCACGGCAATACTTTGACATTATAACAAGTCTGTCAAGGTATCACCCTTGACCCTGACTCTAAACCCTAACCCTAACACTCACTTATAATGCTAGTAGTTTCAAGAGGTAAATGGTGGGTTTGTCTTGAGAGTGGTTAACTCAGAGGATGAGTTGGGATTCAAGTATGCGAAGGTGACTGAGAATATCAAGTCTGCCCTGCTATGCTGTATTACTCTGGTATTTATACATGAGGGACCAGACCCCTAACACTACTGGTAGTACGCCTAACACCTAGGCTGACTGATGCTTTCAATACACTATTGGCTATCTAAGAATACCTAGCATGTAAACCATTGCCCTGTCCTTGTGTCTGGTCAGTAATTCTACAATAATGATCACCTGAACAGCCATGTGTGCTCCTAGTACAAATGGGGAAATCTCTGTGTAAATATATGATAGCCTATTTGTCATACTTCTGATAAGCTGAACACCTGACTAGTAATATGTTGCCATGCATGACGTTATCCTTATCTAAGGTAGATATCTAATTGGATAAGATATAGATTATCTAGATGCTTATGATAAGATAGATACTATGAAATTCTGTGACAAAGTCTATCCTATTCGATGGTTGTTATCACCATCAACTTTCTTTTTGGTCATTCCATTTGTTTTACAGATAAACTCACTCTACCTGGAAAGTGTCATTGCACACTTCTCAGTTTTCCCAGGACCTTCAAGAAGCTTGTACCCCATTCCCCCTATCCTCCTTCCCATTCTTTGAGACCCCTACCAAACAACTGCACTTTGTCAAAGGATGACTTGCCAGTCTTGCCACCAGAGGCCTCAATAGGCCAGCTGAGGAAGAGCTCTTTCAAGAGTACATCAGATTAGCAGAGACTCTTAGAGAGTCTATCAGAATAGGAGATCAGGATCAAGAAGTAGCAGAAGAAGTACAGCAAGTGATTTGCCTACACCATCATCACCTCGTCAACCTATCCCTATGCAGTAGTTTTTGTGAAGAGTTGCAGAATCCCCAGAGTATTGAACAGATAGTGAACACACCTACAAGTTCTATGTACAGAACCACTACAAACAGTTC